TAGATATTTCGTCACAAGATGATATTAATGTCTCCCCTAAAAATCAAATTTGTATTGTCCCAAAAATAAAAAGTACGTTGTCAAAGGATTTTCGGATTGATTTCAATCGATGTTCTATGGATTGTTATGTTTTAAGAGGAAACGATATCATTGACAATTTACACATAATACAAAATATACAAACAGCGTCGATTCACTTGCATTTAAAGAAACATAATTTTGCCAGTAATGAAGTAATAGGAAGTAACATAGTTAGTTTCCCTAAGTCAGTACGAAAAGTCGAAGATAAAAGTGAAGATTGCCCTATTAAAGGGATAGCCTTGTATCTAAATCAAGGAATAAGTATATTCTTAGATTTAACGACGTTAAATAATATGCAAATGGTAAAGAACAAATTACGTAGCTGGTTTAAGAAGAAAAGTTTGATATTAAAAATGTTTTGTTCGAAAACCGTGAACCTTTATGTAAAACGATGGCTTGACGTAAACTTATCAACGAAGTCTATCGATATATCTTTAACAGAATGGTTAATAGACAGCAGCGAAAAAACAGCAGATATTGAATATTTAGTAAGTATAAGCCACAATGTCTATAAACGTATTTAATATTCTTATGTAATTAATGATATTTGTATTTCAGGTAAAAAAGTATTGTGGGATCGATGTCACAAACGTGTTGTGCAAAGTCTCCAATCTACCCAAAAAGTATAAGAGTTTAGACACCATTGAAAGTTTGTGCTTGAAAACTTGTTTATTGTGGATGGTTGCTGAAAAACAGGAAAAAGCTTTAGAAGAGACTCTTCAACCTGCACAAAATGTAATAGGTTCGTAAATGTTACATACTTACTTACGTAAGAATTGCAAACAATTTCTCGACTCTGAACTTTTGATCCTAATTCAAAGTTCATCAATTTTGAATTCTTTGACAGAAATCGAAAATCAGGTCTCCAAGATTCTGGCTAACTGTGAATATTACGGAATAACTGTAGACAAAGATCTCGCGTCACGACTTTTGATTGATGTAAGAAATTCCCAAGAAAGTCTGGAAAAGAAGGCATACAAACTTTGCGGATATCATTTCAACTTTAACTCTTCGAAGGATGTTGCTAAGGTACCTACAACAAGTTTATCAACACATGCAATATTTAAGTTGGTGACGACAGCACATAACACTACCTACACTCGAGTTATTTTAGGAAGAGTAGCTACTGTGATCATTTATATTTAAACAATATACACAGTTTGACGTAATTTTATCATCACTACACTTATTTACAGTACCTATGTATAAATCTTTATCAGGTTTTGGGTATATACAACGGCCGTAAAGTGAGCACTAAGAAAAGCGTGTTAACATCGCACAACAGTCCCCTGTCAAGTACTGTTATTTATTGGAGGAAGCTTAATTCTATATTGACGAAAACACTGTACCCTCTCACGGAGAAGGCTTGCATCTACAGTGAAGGAGACAGGTAAGTTTTTACTTAGTGTCTGAAATTTGTACCTACGCGTTTTAGAAATCGCTTAACTTCCATTAGCGTTTCGAAGTTTCACTTTCTACACGAGTGGTAGGCATATAAATTTAGATTAATTATTGGAAAGGGTCCGCGGGATCGATACAAATCTATGTTGTGCTAGTAATGTTCCTGAAATACCTTATGAAGATCAATTAAACATGTAGCGCGGCAGGTGCGGCTCAGTACCGGGACGAGCATTTAAACCAGTTGTGCCTTCACCTTAACGTGTCAGATTCTACGTGATCAATCTTACTCACCTATGGACGAGTGTATAGGATCCAAATGCTAACAAAGTTTTCATTATTTAGACAGAGCAAAAAAGGCTTTTGGAGCTTTGTTTAGATAAACTAATGATTCGCAAATTTCGGCTTTCTGTACACCTGGGCTTGTCCCTTTTATTGAAACAATGGCTATTTATCTGTACCTGCTTAACTTTACAATAATGAGAACGCACAATATTCAGGGATTAGAGTAGTTAACCCCTGTAATCAAGGCACAATTTCCCCGTTATATTATTATATTATTAGTATAGTAACGAAGAGCCAGCTTACTACCAAACACTGTATAATTCCACGATGTTTGTGAATAGTTCTATAAATCTCTACACTCGGAAAGAACCCAAGCACATACACTCGTCAGTCGCACTTGTTGACCAATGGAAATAATTTCCATATCCACTTTATCTACTTTAATGCAATGGAATCAGTGTATCTATTTGTATTTATCAGACAGTGACACGTGTCGCCGTCAGTTTCTATTTATGAATAGCAAACAAGCTGCAAACTCTTGTTAGGAAGTCGTTACCTAATAACTCTAATAACAGTCATGTTCAACTGTTTTAACGAAGGACCACTTGAGGCAAAAAATATGAATGTGTAATAAATTAAACTTTCTCGCATTAAGGGAATACCTACGCCAACTTGGTGCAAATTACAAAAAAGTGTTTTATTATAAGCAGTTTACACATGCGCGGGCGGGTGGAGATCTAAGCGTGGAGCAGGGAGGATTAATTAAAGTGAGAGTTTGCCGCAAACCTTATATTTTTATTTGCAGAATAAATCCGTCCTATACAATGTTCACTTGCACGGGCCGGATCAGTATGCATGAACCCAACCTGCAGAATGTGCCGCGAACATTTTCAATACCGTGCGAGTACTTGACGGTGCACTCAGCCGTAAGTGATGACGTTGTGGAGTTCAACTGTAGAAACATATTCAAATCCGCCCCTGGCTACGTCATTGTGTCGGCGGACTATTGTCAGTTGGAAATGAGAATTCTGACGCACTTCAGTCAAGACCAGGTGTTGATGAAAATTATGAACTCGAATATGGATGTTTTTAAAGCTATTGCGGCGTCCTGGAGCAACGTGTCTGAAGAGGAGGTGACCGTTTTTTTCATACTTTCTATTATTATAATATAAATATTTTTTTTCGACTAAACAAATTCGGAGACCTCGATCGATGTAATAGTGAGATAACATCAGTTAAGCTCGATTTATGTGTAAAGTAACGTTTACGACAAAATTTTATTCGTGTGCCTTTATTACATCAAATAGATATTTGTCTGAGTCCCAATTACATTTTTATTATTACGGTTCTACGTAGTAACGTAGGCACTTTACTTGCTAGAACTACATAAATCTGCGACGCTAGTCCGCTATATTTAGCCAAATCCTTTGTATTGTTTGTAAACCTTTGAAGTTCAACGTAAAAGAGCACTCGAATGGATTTGGCTTCCTATTTTATTTAGATTAAAACTTTTTACGATCGCTATTGGAAGAATAAACGTTGAATTATTAACAGGTAGACGATGATCTCAGGCAAAAAGCCAAACAGCTTTGTTACGGAATTATTTATGGAATGGGTAACAAAACGTTGGGGCAACTGCTCGATGTCACTGAAATGGAGGCGGCAGTTTTCATGGACTCCTTCTATAAAACTTATCCAGCCGTGAAGGTGTGCACTCAGTCCATTATCGAGGAGTGCAAGAAACGAGGATACATCGAGACTCTTACTAGACGTAGACGATACTTGCCTGAAATAAACAGCAATTCTGGAATTAAGCGAAGTAAGTATAAACTCGTAATTGGTCTCACCATATTACATTGACTTGTGTGTAAATATTGCAGATCTACAAAAATAAAAATGAATAACTGACTTGTAGTGCCTGAATGTCTTTCCTTTGTTAAACTAGGTGCTGCCGAGCGTCAAGCTGTAAACACCACAATTCAAGGATCAGCGGCGGACATAGCTAAAGCCGCTATGTGTTCCATAGACACCAAAACGGAATCACTTGATCCTAAACCTCGTTTGATACTGCAGATGCACGATGAACTCATATACGAAGTGCACGAGACCCACCAGCAGTACTTCATAGGGATTATGAAACAAGTTATGGAGGACACTGTCACTCTGAGAGTGCCTCTCCCTGTCAAAGTGAAGACTGGACTCACTTGGGGCTCCTTGATAGAAATCAAGTTTAGTGAATCATGAAATATATATTTACTATTTATTATCTATTTAGTCTAGATTCTGTGATATTTTGCCTTTGTAGTCGTAAAGTTTAGTAATGTAATCTGTTTTATAGCCAATAAACTATAGAATGTCGTATCTTGCTTTTCTTGTTACCTTTAAGCAGTTGTTAATAGATATTGATGTCCTAAGTACTATCTTTCTTTCTAGTACCTACTTTGGTCCATAGACCCATGGGTCTAATGTAAGGTATACGGTAGGCTTTAAAAATATTGCTGTAGATTAAACGAATTCACAAATAGCCCTCAGTCAACTCCACGTCAAAATATAAATAAAGCCTTCTATAAATAAACGTTGGATTCGAGAAAATGAAAAATCAGAAGTACCTAGGTAGCAGGCAGGTCCTTACCTAGTTAGTACTGTTTTTTTTATATGTTCACACTTTGTAATTACGTGAGTGAATTAACCGGAGTGCGGTCTGGCAGTAATGTAGTCGCACTGGAAATTGGCATAGCCGCCAAAGTACCGTCGGATTTTAACTTTACGTTAAAGTTGAGATTTTCTTTTGTTTTCGTGCATTTGTTTTAATTTTTTCTTAATTCATGTTTTTAAACGCTTTTATAGAACCTAAAGGACATAGAAGGTCCTATAAAAGAGAAACTAAGGGAATAAACATTTTAATATGGTCCCTCAATTCAATATCCGAAGTAATTTTATGTTTTTATTTCATCAACGTTGGAATACTTTACGCATAATATTTGAAATGTAAATTCTTATCAATATTTACCTGTGAGCCCTGAGCGTAGTAGGAATACATTAAGTCAAAGCGTCACAGACGTAGTTGAGTCCTCGTGTTCGGTATCGCAGCGCCATCTCAGCGGACTTTCCGTGGGTTTCCCCGGTTTTTCGCGGAGCGGTAGAGGTCGTGGGGTGCGCGCGCCCCCGTGCGCAATCAATACCTGCGCCGTCCGCCGCCGTCCCGAAGGCTCGCTTGTCACCCTCTGTCACGTCAGCGAGGAGCCGACCGACGCGCTCTGCGGCTCTATCCGACCACTTCACAATCCAACAGAAATTATCTTTCATCATCCGCTACAAAATGTATAATAACTAGACCCCACAAAATGTGCGCGTTAATTCGCCAGCTTTCTTGTCCGCGAAATGACTCGCGTACGACTCGAGTCCCGCGCGTGTCAGCATAGTATACCGACGATGTTGTACGTTTGAGTTTACGTCTGAACTAATACAGCGAAAATGCATCTTCACTTCGAGAGAAACGTTAATGCAAAATGCGACTGCTCCATACTGTCGCTGTCCTGGATGGGGAAGGTGCCTGACGAGCTTCCTGAGGTGAGTCACAAATAACTTTCAATAACTTTAGTTTTAATTTTGTTCAAGACAATGTTTTTAAAGATACCTAGCTATTGACGCTCTAAGTTTCGCTGAAAAGAGTCTTATAATCGCTGCAGCTTTGGCACGCATAATACTAATATTAGAAGTTTGGTATTTTGCACATTCGGACTCAATGTCATTTTACAATTTAACTCAATGGTTAGAAGAACTTTGTAACTTTCACTAGTTACTGAATTGAATTGAATTTACATTAGCGTAACTTTATGCCTTTGTGGGTTGAATAATACGCAATAAATGGGCAGTTAGCAACTTAGCAACGTTTTGGACTAATGATAATAAACTTAGGTCCGTCCTCAAATAACGTAACAAAATGAACTACAGAAATTAATTGCTGCTTTATCAAGTGTTAATATTATAAAAGATGAATACAAGATATAAACAATAGTCACATTCACGTGTTTAGTGTGGGTGTACTTACTTATGTAGCCTCCCGCGGAGAGTACTTACCCGTATTGTTCCATAATTCATTGTTTTGTTAAACAAACGCCACATAAACCTCCAAGCGTTCGATTCGTTTGAGGCTACTGAAATGTGTTGTCGAGATTTCTCGCCGCGGTCTATGTAACGAACTAAATTGACGAAGCAAGTGCCTTGATGGCGAGGGATCCAATTCAATTAACCTTTCTTCAGTTGTTACCAGCTTTTGACCTATTTAAATTCAATTTCTATGCAACGCTCGTCACCTGGGGGTAATTTTGACGCGCTGCCGCGAAACATCCTATAAGAATGCAACAAGGTACCTGGTGATGGGCCCCGTGGAAATAGCAAGAAAATAGCTTTTTTTATGACTGCCATCGGAAGGAATGAATAGATAATTTCGGTAGGGCGCCGGGCATAGGGAAATTGTAATGCTTGTGCACACAGACTGTGAAAAACTGATGTTTAAATGAAACTATTCGTAATATTCTTTCTTGTTCTCCACACCAAGCGAAAATATATTTCGTTTGGTCTTATCTCAATTATTTGATAAAGTTGGATATTTCAATTCTCCTTTCCTTTTACGTATAATATAATTCCAATCTACTATAACTACATTAACAGAATTAATTCGTCTCATATCAACCTTAGACCTTTTGCAGATAAATTAGGTGACCTTTCCTACTATTGTAAGAATTTTCTTTAAGGAAAAACTATTAAGTACTTACTTAACCATAATTTATTATTTGTCTGCCATTTCTGGTATTTTTTTATACAGAAGGTTTTTAGATTGTGTTTAGTAAGTTTTGTTATTCTGTTTTTAAAGATTTATAATGAAATTTAGTTTTTTTCGGTTTGTAAGTATATTTTAATCTATAAAAAAATACTAAAATATCATCTTTGAATTTAACAGATGATGGCTAGATGGCAAATAAAGTCATATTAATTCCCGATAGTAGGCAGCCGCTAAGGCCAGTAGGTACAGATAGAATGCTATAATAAATAATAGTAATAAATAAAATGTTTATTTGGTGTAAAAAGCCAGATTACAAAATAAATCTTAATATCTAAACAAAGTCTAAAAATAAGTGTAACCTGAACTAGGTCCAAGCCTGTGTTTCAGGTTAAAAATGTACTGAAATATTTATAATACAATAATATTGCTTATAAAACTAAAAATGTTGTCTAAATTAAATTAAGCTAGTCTCTAAGTATAACAGGTGCGCGTGTAGCTTACTTCAAGTAATTCCTCGGTTTGGTCGTATGTTAAGGTGTGTACATAATTATGTAATAGTTTTTTACAGTGAAAGTGATTGAGGCTATAATTACTTAATTCTCTATTTATTCTATTGTATTAAAATGGGCCAAGAAAGATAAAGAATCTTTTTATAAAAGCGTGTTTTGACACTGAGGTTGAAGTGCAAACCATATCATTCCGCCTTTTGTTAGTAAGATTATTAACAATGCTCTTTATTATTTACTTATTATATTGTTAACAAGTTGCAGAGCTATTCTGGAGATGATAAATTCATCTCCAAATCGTCTCATAACCTCGCAAGTTACCTACACTTTAAAAACCCAAGAAAAATGTCAAACTGCTAAAAACCAAAATCTCAAAATACTAATCTGTCGTAATTCTACCCACTTCCATTACCTTCTGCCTGAAGGCGCCAGTAGTGGCGGTTTTAAAAAATATCTTAGTATATAGTAGTAACACGGAGTCTGGAATTGTGTCCGGTATATGGCAATAGGCTCACCCGTAAGTCCCATGTAATAGGTACATGGGACTCATAAATAAATAAAGAAAAGTGGGTGTTACATTGTACAATGACATTAAGTGCCGTAATGTGCACCTCTGCCTATCCCTTCGGGGATAAAAGGTGTGACATTATATATGGTGGCGTTAGTGTCGAACTCAGTTGTTTCAGAAAACGAAACTTTATCTCTCCACGAATTCATAAGTGACATGCAAACTTTTAGATTGTAAAGAGAATACATACCAATAAGTACTAAACTAGTCAACGAAGAGATATTAGGACTTCTATAGATTCCCTAGTCAACATAGGATCCTGTTCTCGAATATATTGTAAACGGACTCCCAGTCCTCATTAGTCACAGCTAGTTGGAGACGCTGAACTATCAGCGCTCTGCGCTTGTAACTGGTTTAATGAAGTGGCGAAGTTGCCACTTTAAAATTTCCAACCGATTTCACTCTTTAATAACGAAATATCCAATGAAATATCAAGAACCTATGTAGGTACCTTAACACGTTAACGTACGTAACGTACCTACTAACGTAGGTCACCGGTGACCTACGTTAGCAGGCCTCCCGCTAGGTGGACGCATCGCCAGAGTTGCGGGGAGCCAGTGGATGCGGGTGGCGAGTTGTCGTTCCACGTGGAGGACTAAGGGGGAGGGCCTTTGTCCAGCAGTGGACGTCTTCCGGCTGTTGATGATGATGATGATGATTCCTATAGACATACATTAACTTCACGCCTGTCTCTCATGGGGAGGGGGGGCGGGCTGGGACTATGGTACGCCAATTGCTACGATTCTTACATACACCGTTCGCTTTATCAACAGTCATCTATCTTTTCATGCCTGCTGGGTTGTTAATTATAAAAAAAAAATTCAGAAAGAATTAATAATGTAAACATACATAACCCTCACGTCTGTCTCCCATGGGGGTATATTGGGACTATGGTACGCCAATTGCTACGATTCTTACATACACCGTTCGCTTTATCAACAGTCATCTATCTTTTCATGCCTGCTCGTCGGTTAAGGGTACTACTTTTAATTTGGCCCTTAAATATATCGCCAATCGCCTATAGAATTAGAAACTATTTGAGAAAAGTGAAAGCTGGTGTATAAATGAAATCATTCGTAGGTACTTAATGTTGCCTCTTGTTCTCAATTATATTTCCACTCAGTCCTTTTAACGGCTTTTAATTAAGCCATCCGAATAAAGTAAAGAAAGCACTTTACCTTTTATCGTTAAGCAAAAAATGGTCTTAAGTACCTATTTGAGAGGCTTGAGTGCGTATTTGTTTTGTAATTGTCAGGACAACGGTATCAAGTTGTTTCATTCGAGATTTTAAGTATAGAATCAAGTTCGATCCTCGAAACCCTTCTAATTGAAGTATTTATCTCGAAAATGTACCCTACCATACCCACTGGGCAAAATGGTGATATGAGTACAGAGTACCAAGTGATAGGGTTTCCAGGATACGGTACTAATTGATAAGAAATGTGTCCTAATTGGGCGCCGACGTATGGATTAATCGAGCGAAGGGTGTCGGATCGTAATATCTAGCTAATTGCCAATTTCGCCTTCGATCTCCGGTCTGCCGCCGTCGTCGGGACAGGCATGCACCATTACGTGCCTGTTAATTGCCTGGCTTCCTATTAATGCGGCCCGTACAAGTGAACATGCCATTTGTAGCAATATTAAAAATTAATTATTCGATTTGTATCAGTAAGTACAACCTTTTGCATCACCTTTGTAGTGTTGCCTAATAAATGTATAGATACATAGACGGTAGACCAATACTCTATTATCTACATAAACTATGGTAGGTACCCGTCGATTGCAGTAGCATTTTCTTTCGAAGCTCCATTTCTCTCGTGCTTGTACTAATGAAGTTAGCTAATGGTATACAGCGAGAGCGTGCAAAGATTTAATTTGTTACCTAACCTACCTCTCTCCGTTAGTCTAAAAGCTAGGAACACTGAGGGACCTTGTAGTTGTAAGTTACCTGTAGGGTATTGCGATCTCTGGAGACCGCAAAATACTTCCGCCTGGCCCTCAAAAATTAATTACTTACTCGTTAACGTTATGTATTTTTAAAACTAAAGTTCGAGAATATGTTCACTTATTCATTACAACGGGTACCTATTTTATTACCCTTCCGGCTTAGCGCCCCTTTCAACGCAGTCGGTATGTTTATTTATGTAAGACTAAGGGAATAAGTTTGTTCATTGCAATACTTGGAACTATGTACTATTTAATTAAAACCATTAGTTTGTCCTAACAACTCCTGTACATACGTATTTCTATTCTTGAAATGTAGGTTTAGTAAAAGAGTCGCCATACTTTCAATATAGGCTTTAATACCAGGCATAATAACTTTAATATGTAGGTACTTGATGTGTTTCAAATGATTTTTGTGTTAATTAACTGCAATGTAAAAATTGCAGTTTGAAACTGCACGATATTGTAAGCAAGGTCAAGGTTTGGATTCGATGCTAAATTTGTCCCTTGATACAATTGAAAATGTGCTTTGTTTAAACAGGAGGAGGGTTGGAAGCTCAACCGCAATAACTATTACCAAGAAGGATGGTTGGCTACAGGGAACGTCCGCGGAGTGGTTGGAGTCACATTCACATCGTCGCATGCGCGCCGGCCACACGAACTGCCGTTGCGCACAAATTATAACCTTCGTGGACATCGATCTGATGTAAGTATTCCTTTATTTATTACACTCAATTCGAATATATTTCTGGAAAAGGAAAATTTGCGGATCAAAATTACAAACAGTTTGCAGGCACAGTCGATTCAATTGTGTTTTTATATGGTTTCGCAAAATGAACTCATTGTAGTCCCTACTTCCTTAGGTACATGGGTGTGGTTATATGTATGTCGTATTGATCCCGATCCAGTCCCTTGAGTACTTTTTTCCAAAAGCAATGTAGAATGTAGAAAAACCATATCGATTTTCTATTTAGGTCTGGGTTCAATGTAGGTACAGATTCTGCCCTGACCTAAAAATTAGCTATCCATTTGGAATCTGCCAGAACAGAGAGTTTACGTTTTTGACGTAGACACAATGTAAATTCGACTTTAATTTCAAGTCACGATCCTGATAATGGTTTCTGAATGGATGTGACTGCCGTAAAATGTCGTAACACTGACATAACACGTGAATTGTTTCGAGTCCCGTGGAAATGTGCATTGGTATAAAATGTCTGTGAATCAGAAAATTACCGGAAGAAAATGTCGAACGTAGCAAACGGCATTAAAATTGTTGGTGACCTTTGTGTTAGCCAAGAAATCGACGTCCTAATCTCGATAGGAATCTTGTAAGTGACATCGCGTGATGGTATCTCGTGAACAAGGAAAAGTTTAACTCTGTACCAACGTATTTGATTGGACTAATACAAACTACCTTACCCACATAACGATAGAGAGACCTCCTTTGGCATCTGAAAGAATTTCTTTACTTTCGGTTTTTGTGGATGATGTGAGCGCTAACGAGCGAGAACATTTCCTTTTATGAATACTAATAAGTAGCTTTTATTGAAAATTTCTTGTAAAATTATGCTCGCAAGTAATGGGCCGATTACAAAAGAGTGGGTATTCAAGCATGCTCTTTACGTAAATGTAAATTATTTTATTTATTTTAAAGACTATTTGAGTACGAAAAACTAGTCTTTTATGAGAAAAATTCAGAAAATCGAGTTGGATCTGAGCTTGCGACCTATTCACGTTAACAAGTTCGGTCTCTAGTCTTGTTGAAATGTGGCGACCGGAGATAAGGGAATGCTTTCACACGGCCGTGGTTTGCGCATTGCCGTTAAATACGTTTTACAAAATAAATAAAAGGAGCCTGCGGTCAACTGAAACAGATGTGAAAGGAGATGAACGTGGGATGTAGAAGCGTAAAGCTGTACTTAAAATATCATAAATAATGACCAACTCGGACTAAAAAATACTGCAAAGTACGAAAGCTTTCATGAAAATGGCCGTATATGAATTCGCACATAAAGCGCTAGTAGTAACTGAAGGTTTGGCTTTGGTATTGGCTCCAATGATATTTTTTTTGTGATTGGACGGACAGAGCTACATTAGAACAACCGATGAAACATTTAGGAAACTCAATTCTTAGTAGCAGAATGCATTTTGAATCTGTGCTTCTCCTTGATAGCCTCGCTCTGCGTAAAGTAGTCAAAGAAAGAGGTCGTAATAAATCTACACGTCTCCGTCCTACTCTTTCCAAGAAAAACAGGAAAAGTTACACGATATTATTCTTTTGAACACAAAATACGAATTATTAAAAAAGTAGAACAAACAAACAGAATGTCGTCTTATCATTATAATTACCGTGTATCCGAGTCTTCCTCATTAAAATCAACTTGTTTACGGACTATTCGGGATTGTTTGAACAGCGATTTAATATCGTTCCTCAACGAGGGAGTCCTTTGTCTTCTATTTGTTCTTGTGCTATAATAGTCCCTTGTATCACATAATTGAACATTTTAAGATCAATCAGTAGGACAATCAAGTAATCAAGTTGTTTGACAAACAATGAAACACGTATTTTGTTCCATTCAAAGCTTTTCCTCTCAATAAGGTTTTGGTGGTTATAGTTACCTCGCGGTTCTTGCAGTTTTATACACCTAAAACTGTGAAATCGTAGGGTAAAGTATTCCACATATCTTAGAATGAATATCAAGTATTCATAGATGAAATTCAACATACATATTATATTTTTTGTGAGGCTAATAATAATCTAGACGGGTATCTGATTTAGTATCCAGGTTAATAGAACACCTTTATTACCCATGTTGTTAAATTTTTTGGTCTCAAATTTGTCTCAAAGGTCTCTCACCATTGTTCCTATACCTTGCCATATTTAGCATACCGTCCCCTCCGTGAACTTGCTTGGAAGCAAGTACAGGTAGGCACAGTTGCTAACAAATCGATAGGAGTCAAGAAACGAAGCCAGGTGTTCTATGAAAAAAAGAAGAATTTTTCAATCGTAATTAGAACAAGCACTTTACAGTTCTGTGAGAGAAAATTCTGATTATCAATACCTTATTTATATGTTCTGTAGTGTCTCATAGACTATTTGTAAAATCTGTATTGTCACAGGAATAGACAAGACATGGATGGTAAATTAATTCTCACCGTGATCACACGTGATCTGAAATTTAAATAATCTCATTGAGATCTCATATAACACAATAAGGTAAATTAAGGACGTATAGTTTGCCTCTTACAAAAGCAACACGGGAACTCCTGTAGCAATGAGTGGACTTCGTTACGTTCAAAAGGCCAAGTCCTCGAGCGTAGTAATATATGACTTTGTTTTAGGCCCCACCCTATCGTGTTTAAGTGGCACTCGCCCCTGGCCCCCATCCAGTGAAGCCCTTTTATATTTATCCAAGCATAATATTTGCAAAAATAACACCTAGGTTCTTGGTTCGTGCCTACTTATTCGTTCAAGTGTGGTGTTAACATTCTAGGTCAGAACAACAGACACCTGCAGCCGACAGGCAAAAATGTAATTAACAAACTTGGAACTTTTTGTTGATCGATGCGTTACCGACAAATATTATAATTGTATGAATGATTACTTTCTTTGTTTCGTACAAATACATAGAAGTGTTCAGTGTTTGACTTTTTTCAATGTTACAACACAATCTTTTCATGGAGTTTCTTTTGGATTTTGTCTACCTCATATCAACCATCCATTTTAGTAAAGCTCGAATTGAATTTTATCCTTATTTTACCCCATCATAAACCACAAACGAAACTACTTACAATTCACTCACTTCCTAAATGAATGTAGACAATACACCTGCGTAGTCTACCTTGTGAGCAAAGAAGCCTTACAGACATACCGAGACTATTTTAGATACCAGAGCTCACACTAATTTAACTAGGTAGGCACAGACGGTTTATACGTCCCCATAAATTTGATGTTCTCGCTGAAGTCGAGGGCTTGTGTCAAACGTGTGATTGCTAGCAGTGTTCGTAACATTGGATTCCTTCGCATCTCGACAGTTTCTCTAAGTGGGTGTAACTTATATGGAGCGAAGCTGCCAAGGGCACGTGGAATGTGTAATAACATTGCGTCTCAAACACGACGAGTATAATCCTCAAATATAAATACACGTTTTTACTGCCTATCTTGAGTAGCTTAAGAATGTTTATACAGCCAATTGGATAAACAGGAATTTCCTTTATGTTAATATTGTTTTCACTCTTCTACTTGAACAGGCAAAGCTGTAGTCTATCAGTAGCTATAAAGTTTATCGGCTTTTATTGAGAGCCAATACTTCCTTTTCCGTTTTCCTATTACAGTTTATTTTCTTAGTTGAGAAGATATCGTATCGTATCGTATAGATCGTAGAGTCGATATATGTCACAACTTCAACGTAATTAGACCTAAAGGTTGTGTTCAGGAGTTAGGAAGACGGATTGCATCTGGTCCATCGCATCGCTCAAACTAGCCTCGAACGCTGACCGCCACCGCGCGCCGACACTAATCAATTACTTCCCTCTATAACTAGTGCTGAAACTCTGGCGTAACTAAATCCTCGGGTACTGGATCTAATTAACCAGACCAGACTTCTGAAAATAAAATATAGCGGTAACCGAGAACAGTATTAAAATCTGTTATGTAACTTGATTTTGACGTCAATCATTAAGAAAATACGAGCTCTAGATATAGCATTTCCCATTTCATTTCATTAACTGAATGCGTTACCACGTCAGAATGTCTTGGTACGATATGCACAGTGGGGTACCTACAGGCTCCGAGAATTATACTTAGTACTGCACCTTACTTAATTAAAACTACGTAGGTACGGTAATTAATCTAGAGCTGTCACTAAAGTGGATTCTTGGCGCTGGATGTACGAGCAACGAACAAACACATAGCATTCGCAATGTTCACGTAGTTAATGTTCAAGTTGATAAATTAAAAAGTTAGGGTCGTGTGCTTGACGTCGTTATACTTTTTCTGCAAAAAATATTTTGTGGTGAACATTATTCTGGTCCTTGCGAAAACATTGAAAATTGGAGTACACAGAATATAGGATAGGAGAAGGAACTGTCAGCTGTTTTCATAACAAATGAAGACCAACTAGCTAGAGCGCTAGACCAACGAGGTAGACAAAGAGAAGACAAAGATTATTTATTTGCAAAAATACGTGTGAAACAATAATACATCATAGAGGTAGAATACACATTATAAGTTCTACAGGTGAGCAGTGAGCATAGTATCAACTAATGTTTGACCATTTCTGGTGTACAAATGTGGAATATAATCTATATATATAAAAGAAAGTCGTGTTAGTTACACTACTTATAACTCAAGAACGGCTAAATCGATTTGGATGAAAATTAGTGAGGATGTAGCTTAGAACCAGGAGACGGACATACCTCTAGGATACTTTTTACCCAATACTTATTTTTTACTGTTAACCGAAAATCAAGAACGGGTACGGGAAATATCGGGATTGCGCATACGAAGTCGCGGGCAGAAGCTAGTGTTAAATACAATTAACTTTTAAATTGTCCTATAAGAGACTCAAACCTCCTGACCAGGACAATCAAAGAAATATTACAAACACTTGTCATTTACAAAGTCATAAACACTATAATAGCATTTATTAACTAGTAGTTTTTTCAACGCTTGTTTGAATAAGTTTAAATTTAATTTAATAATTTCTTCACGCTTTTTTTAGTAGATAATATAGATAATAGAGGTATAATGAATAACGTATTCTTAGTTAACAACCATACATTGATCACGCGAGCTCAAGACCTATTAATGCTACCTACATAAGATAGACAATATGTTAATGTTCCCTTTATAAGTACTTTCTACATACGTCATTCGTTTTATATCTATCGAGAAAAGATTCCAAGCGTATCAACATTACGAGTGAGTAGTAATTAACTTGGATTTGTGAGAAATTAAGTAAATTTATTAGTGCGTTAATTTTGTATGTATGTGAACTCAATCCTTATTTAACTGCGCCCACGTCTGAAGTCGTTATTTAGTTGTTCTAGGATATAATCAAGACAGTATCTTTTGTAGCTGTAATTGTGAGTGACATACTTGACGTATGCCCGACATTTAAGATATGTTGAGCCAGCAAAATTTCTAGATTATCTTAAAGTACCCCTGGTGTCATGGCCATAAGTAGCGGTTTTATCTAGATAGGTTTGTACTATTATTCATTCATCATCCGACTGCCTACGGGGTCTGCATCGTAATGCTTAGTTTTTATTTTAGACTTTATTTGTACACCATAAAAACATAAAGAGAAATATGTATACAATCTTTGGGTGAAGCCCGTAATCAGGAATTTAAAAAATGGGTGTCGTCCAGTGTACAAAATAAATCAAACCAATACATACATAATAATACTACCTATACACACCAAATAAATAATACATATACTGAAATAAATATAACTACTATACATAAGTGTGTGTTTGTGTGAGTTCCATGCTAGGTAGGATTGGTTAAAAATAATAACTAAAGAGAGAGGTAATGTTCTTTAACCAGATTTTTGAACTGAGGTAAGTTTTGAGCACGCCTCACTGTAATCGGTAAGGCATTCCACAACCGAGCTGCTTTAATAGTGAAGGAATTACCAAAAAAGGCAGTGGAGTGCAAACTAATATTTAAATTAAGGTTTTTTGATGATCTCAATAACCTCGTATGTGTGTCACCAAGGAACTGAAAACGTTCATTTAGATAAAAAGGGGCAGCAGGATTGAAGAGAATATTGTAAAATAAAGGCAGGCATTTGAGTAGATTTGTGAAAAAAATCTGGAACGTGGTCATATTTGCGAAGTTCAAATATAAATCTAATTGAAAGATTTTAAAGACGCTCAAGATTGTCTAATAGTTCCTGGGTGAGACCGAGATATCTGGCACCAGCATAGTCGAGGATCGATAGAAGAAGAGATTGAGCAAGACCAATTTTTGTATTAGTTGGCAAGAAATCTGAAGACGCCTCAGGGAGTCCGCCGAAGCAAACACTTTCCGGCTCACCTCCTGTAGTTGTATAGACCAGGACAGCGTATTGTCAACGTAAATCCCCAAGTTTTTTGCATTTCGAGAATAAGAAATTTTTGTAGTACCTAAGCAAAGAAACGTGGGGTAGAGTTGACCAGTAAATTTTAGAGACAGACCGTGAACTTCGAATATTTTTGAATGGCGCTACATTGCCATCAGAGGTTCTGGATTGCAACTATCACGGCTGGGTCTGCATCTAATATTTTATTAACATAAATTCTCCTGACTTTTATCCAACTAGGTTAAGGTCGAGAATGAGTTTTAAAAGGGTTCAAGGCAACGTTAGTATTTTACAGAAAGCCTACTCTCAACAATCCTCTCTCAATTCCAGGTTTGATGACCCATTTGGCAAATGTCCTGCCTACTTACACTTGATCTAATTACCCGTCGCGATCCGTTTAAACTTCGTCCAGTCTATGTAAAGCTTTTAATTAATGTTTTTTTATAACCAGGTGATCCTAGTAAAATGGAACGAGCCATACCAGAAGTTAGCGTCGTGCGACAGCAGCGGAGTGATCTTCGTGTGGATCAAATACGAAGGTCGCTGGAGCATCGAGCTGATCAACGACAGAAGTACTCCAGTCACACACTTCTCCTGGTCACACGACGGACGGATGGCACTCATTTGTTATCAGGTACGTATTAGAGCTGCATGTCTGCAGACGGTAAGCAAGGGTAGCTCTCCGCCCGATCAGAACCAGACCCGAGTTACACCACGTCGCTTTCTGGTGTGGTTTTTAGTCAGTAAAAGTCTGACACTCCTCTCCACCTCCCCGAGAGTGGTAAGAGTCATTTTATGATGTTCCACTCCTTAAAAAGGAAACAACGTAAAATATTTGTATGTTAATTTGTAAAATACTAGGAAGCTAGTTGGACTGACAGAATAATATACGATTGTCCGGTCGAAAATTCAACCAAAGTCCCAAACGTAACGTACCTACTTAATTTACGTGTTTTCCAGGGCTCGGGAGTGAAACATCGCCTAATATAAACAGTGGTCCCCTACAGTTAATTTATTGATAGAAATATCTGCGGACGACAAGCCCAACGTAATTTTCCGCACAAATTCAAACAAGCGGCGACCGAGGCTAGCAAATAAATGCATTACATAAACTGTACATAGTTAGTCCACTGGGTTTCTTCCCGAAGTAATACTTTCTTTGAAATTGGTTGCCTAGAACCCCTTACGAAGTCCGTAAAGGGATTTATTACCTATCTGTCGAGGCCGCAACAATCTTCAAGAATTTCTAATTTGATACTTCGCAAAGGGTTTCTATTATATAGAATCATGTATTCATGTGATGTGATCTAAAAGGAAAAGAGTCCGTCTATAGTGAATAAATAGGTGTTTATCCAGTGTTCGGAATACCTTATGGTTTAGAAAATTATTCCTAGAAAGACTACGGCTATTTAATTCCTTAGCATAAATATTAATTAAAGCGTTACCTCTAAAATTCTATATAGAATTATGTTATGAATATGTAAATTAAACTTAATTTGTATGTTAAATTGGTATGTGGGAATTAAAATATATCTTTCAGGTATACCGGTATACGTTACCTAAATGGAACTCAGTTTGTTTGAAACCTTTCAGTGCAGGCGGGCTCGTTTCTAAAACTATGTTTGGCGGCCTTATGTAAGCAAATTGGATATACATCATACCTATTCGGTCGTTCGGTAGCGGGTACCGTATTAAAGCGGAACGGGCAAAAAATAAGGCTTTGCCAATAGAAAGGTCATATTTTGTTGAATATAGTTTTTTTATGAATTCGGGTTGTTATGAATAATTTAACGAGTTTTAGATTATGTCGGTCGGTGCTTGGTACTACATATTTCAGAGCAAACATTACACTAATCACTATCCCGTATAATGTCAAAACAAAGGAGACAGCCTCAGCTGTCTGTCCTTCGATTAGTTTTATTCACGTTGACGAATAATAGATTTGTTATCACAGTATCGTCGTACCAACAACATGTCATTTCAATTACACCACGTGGTGTGCATCCACGTGAATTTGGAGCAGACCCTCCGCCGGATCAGTCGAAATGTCGCTAGCAATTTGCTAAAAGGCTTCTCTGTGGCACCGGCTGGCGGACGTTACGTGACACCTCTGAACACAAACAAACGTGAAGCGTGTTTAGAAAGGTGTGCCGATTTTGCGGGGGCGTGCTCCGATCTCAATATTACTGTCATTGTCTCAGGGACTAGGCGTCGTAAACAAACTCCAATTTATAGGACATGATGTTTATAGGTCCTCACTCTGCTAGCTAGTACAAGCTCATCTAGTAACATATTACGTAATGCATTGTCGGTGAAGCTACTGTTTTATTTATTTGTTTATTTATTAGATCTACAAACTATATTTCTTTTAAATTAGTACGCAGGCAGGAGATATTAGAGTTGTAGGTAGTATTTGTACTAAATTGTATCAGACAAATGAAATGGTACAGACTGGTAATCTGATATTGACGTATCCATAAAGCTTGTCGTAATATTTCGTATTGGTACATACAGTATGTGACTGTAACTACACACAATACATAGTTTACAAAGAGTAGCGTCTTCCATTGTCTTCAGTGTGACAGTGTCTACGAATAACTGGAACACACAGGCCTTGACAATATGATTTTTTGGCACAGCTCCTCACTGGGTTCTTTTATGCTAATATTGGCTGGCGACCCAACACGGTAACACCCCTTGTATTGATGGAAAAGTTTTGCAGGGTGACAATAAAAACTGTGAAATCGGTTAGGGACGATAAAGTTTGTAGCGGCTGTGGGTCCAATCCAATTTATTATAACATCACGGCGATCGTGAGCGTTATAAGAGATGAAATCTTTCGGGTTGATTGATAGCCCATTTTCAGCGGTTTACGGGCTTCCTTTATTGTTACATCCTTTCTTACTTATTTCTACGTCTGGTCCTCGTTCCGTAGATTGAATGTGGACTGCGGTAGGTACATTTCTATAGCCATTCATGAATCGCTTTATGCGTTGGTTATAAATATCATACCAAATAACTAGAAATCATGCTTAGTAACATTTTGTCGAAGTTGTTATTATTTTATTCGGTAAAGTATGTGGTTCAATGATTGTTTAATTAAGTAACAATAAAGTAATTCACATTGCGGTGCTACCTTCGTTACGTATTATTACGAATGCGAACAAAACGTTTACACTAATTACTTAGGTAAACATTTCAGGCATATAGAGCTTTTAGAACCATGTGTTGTATTCCATTGAGAGGTATTTACACGTCGTACATCGATAACAGGGCTTAATTTCGAGTAAGCTCTTAATTTAGAAGTCATTCTAATAATAACATTTTTAAGATTGTTAATATCATTGTTAATATCATTTTAATTTTAACACAAAGGAGGGTTGTTGACATTATCTTTTTTAGTCACCTTTTGAGATGCCCACGTTTTTAACTGAAGAGGCAAACTTATGTACGTAGGCGTTTAGGCTATTCGTCCGTCAGTCGGTCGAATGTGACAGGACTTTTTACCAGACTAAAAGTTTAAACGATATGCATTACACTTTTATGAACAATATTTATTTGTTGATTAGGACGGGTTCGTATTGGTTGGCTCGGTGGCAGGCCAGCGCTACTGGTCGTCCATGTTGTCGCTGGACGCGCGCATCACATGCGGCTGCTGGACGCCGGACGACAACCAGGTGTACCTGGGCACTGCCTCCGCACAGCTCGTCGTCATGGACGTCCACGGCGCTATGGTTTCACAGGTTATTTCATAAATCATTATCAACATGCCCATGCCCGGTCGTACAGTTCGGCAATTTAATTGTAATACGCTTTCTGAATGTCATTTCCATCGAGCTAAATGTTTCTTACAATCACTTTTTGCGAATAACATCTTAAAAATTGCATTGAAAATAGTAATAAATGTAACAAAAAATTAAAAATATTGCACCATAATATTATCTGCAGGTACAATTAGTAGCTGAAGGCGGCATCATTTCAATGGCTTGGTCGTGTGAGAAGTTCAAGATGGAAGAGGGTGAGGAGACCGGGGAGAACAATGGGGGGCATGTGCTGGCCGTGGCGCTTGGGAGCGGGGAAATAGTTCTACTGCGAGGACACGATGACGTCAGCCCCGTGCGGGTGTCCACCGGCCTGCGGGGGAACACGCTCGCCATGGAGTGGGCCAACTCTAGGGAACTACTGGCTGTGGCGGGCACTCTCATTGCTGGTGAGTCATTGTTTCCTAGTAAACTAGTGGCTATAGGATTTTATAAAATTAATACGTTGAACACCATGGGGGATAGCTCGTGGGCCACGAAGGATTTGCCTTCAACAACAGTTTTCTGTCGGCATAATATTCAAAAAGGGTTTATAGGGAAAGTATTATTAAAACCTCAGTAAGATTAGTCACTGTTTTATGAATAAGTTTCATGTATTTAGAGATTACACGAAATGTAAAAAAACACGTTCACCTTGAAAAGTAAACAATGTTTTACAATAGGGAAGCCTTAAATGTCCTTCGTGTAACGCCAATTTTTGGCTTAGAAGACATAGAAGTGCACGAAGTCGTTATGGACGAAATCAGTACGAATTGGACAATTGGAAACAATATTTCGTAAACTACCGAGTGTCATTAATGAATAAATACATGTCCCTATTATATTTGTTTATTATGGCAAAATGAAATTTAACAAATACTTTCTTTTACAAATAAATGTTTGCCACATAAAACCTACACGCACAAGTTCATATTATCTGGTAACTCGTATCCGAATCGTTCTTTTGAAAAACGTTGATATTGATAAATCGACGTGTGGAGTGAGCTTTTGTATCGTTTTGATAAACGATCAAACGATGCATTCATTTTGTTTGGACCTGTTTCAGTACGATATTTTATTTAACCGCCAGCTTTGTATGGTCAACATATTTTTTAATAGCACCATATTTTTATGTGTTTATAGCATAATGGTTTTATATCATGGCACTAGCTACCGTGAAACACAATTCATAAAACTTGCGTCAACATACTTCCTTTACCACTGTTAGCGATTTCCACGTTTCTTTAATTACGGTTCTTTGATTAATCATCTTTCTTTTTAATCGTGACGAAGACTTCAAGATTTCTTTTGATTTCTACGTATGCATGGTCTTTTTACTTAGTAAAATTTTACTTTTTTACTACTAGTCTAAATCCAGTTGCCAACTTTAATATTGAGATTGTGGATAGCAAACATGAAATCTAGCTCGCCACTACTACCTACGTTCCTACATGAACAAGCGCTTATACTTAATGTTTACAGAAGCTGACGAGCAGGCAGATTCACCTCCTTACAAGAATGTCGTCAAGTTCTATTCCGACACCGGGGCACTCATCTACACCGTGCCCATACCTTACTCACAGGTCAGTCCATTACTCGGCTATACCAGTGTCAATGTGACGTGAAGACGATGAAAATGCAGTCTTTTTTATTGCATAGCATTGCAACTGAGCCGACAGATCACCTGATGGTAAGCAATGAGTTACAAGTACGTTACCGGCCTTTTAGGGATTGGGAATTTGGAAGTATCATTTAAACAAGGAAACACAATACAATCATTACTTCACGCCTCACCCTAAAAGACGTTGTAAATGTACATACATGGAAAACTAGCGACCCGCCCCGGCTTCGCACGGGTGCAATATGCATGTATTATACATATAAACCTTCCTTAACACGTTAACCGCCGCGTAGGTCACTGGTGACCTACGTTAGCGGAGGATTTGCCTTCAGCAGTTTTCTGTCGGCAGTCAAAGGCTTAAGAATCACTCTATCTAATAAAAAAAACCACATCAAAATCTGTTGCATAGTTTTAAAGATCTAAGCATACATAGGGACAGACAGACGTCGGATAGCGACTTTGTTTTATACTCTGTAGTGATAATGTCACATGGTACGAGCGGAGTCATGGTGATTCTTTAAGTCTTTACATCGAAGAGATGATTCCATGATACATACATACCTATGTATCGGTTGTTGTGGTTGTTGTATGTATGTACGATGTAGTCGTCCTAGTGTATAGACAGGTCGTTGCGCAGGGCACGGTGCGCGCGCTGACGTGGGGCCACTGCGCGCGGCGCCTGTTCGTGGTGGTCCTAGTGTATAGACAGGTCGTTGCGCAGGGCACGGTGCGCGCGCTGACGTGGGGCCACTGCGCGCGGCGCCTGTTCGTGGTGGTCCTAGTGTATAGACAGGTCGTTGCGCAGGGCACGGTGCGCGCGCTGACGTGGGGCCACTGCGCGCGGCGCCTGTTCGTGGTGGTCCTAGTGTATAGACAGGTCGTTGCGCAGGGCACGGTGCGCGCGCTGACGTGGGGCCACTGCGCGCGGCGCCTGTTCGTGGTGGTCCTAGTGTATAGACAGGTCGTTGCGCAGGGCACGGTGCGCGCGCTGACGTGGGGCCACTGCGCGCGGCGCCTGTTCGTGGTGGTCCTAGTGTATAGACAGGTCGTTGCGCAGGGCACGGTGCGCGCGCTGACGTGGGGCCACTGCGCGCGGCGCCTGTTCGTGGTGGTCCTAGTGTATAGACAGGTCGTTGCGCAGGGCACGGTGCGCGCGCTGACGTGGGGCCACTGCGCGCGGCGCCTGTTCGTGGTGGTCCTAGTGTATAGACAGGTCGTTGCGCAGGGCACGGTGCGCGCGCTGACGTGGGGCCACTGCGCGCGGCGCCTGTTCGTGGTGGTCCTAGTGTATAGACAGGTCGTTGCGCAGGGCACGGTGCGCGCGCTGACGTGGGGCCACTGCGCGCGGCGCCTGTTCGTGGTGGTCCTAGTGTATAGACAGGTCGTTGCGCAGGGCACGGTGCGCGCGCTGACGTGGGGCCACTGCGCGCGGCGCCTGTTCGTGGTGGTCCTAGTGTATAGACAGGTCGTTGCGCAGGGCACGGTGCGCGCGCTGACGTGGGGCCACTGCGCGCGGCGCCTGTTCGTGGTGGTCCTAGTGTATAGACAGGTCGTTGCGCAGGGCACGGTGCGCGCGCTGACGTGGGGCCACTGCGCGCGGCGCCTGTTCGTGGTGGCGGGCGGCGCGGTGTGCACGGCGCGCGTGTGGCGCGTGGTGGCGCCGCTGCAGCTGCTGGCGCGGGTGCGTGCTGCGCAGGCGCTGCGCGACCCGCGCCTGGCGCCGCGCCTGCCGCTGCCGCCGCGCCTGCAGCCCGCGCTCGCCAACCTCTTCGCGCACACTATACGGGTGAGGCTTCCTCTTTATTATATGGATAAGCGATAAAAAGCGATCAGCATCGCCCACAGATATTCGCCTTGTCGCCACAGACATTACCAAATTTTTGTGGTGGAAGGAATTTGCCTCTAGTAATCTAACCTCACCCGTACGGCGAATCAGAATGCGATTATGTTAATCTTGTTATTGATTTCATGAACAAAACGTTCATACTTTATATTATAGTGCAACGTTCCGGAGACGAACGAACTCCGTCTGTTCGTATCCCGTCCCCCGGCGGCGGGCGGTCGCCTGCACTGTACGATGTTGCGGCACGACGACGAGGAGGCGGGGGCCTACACTCTGTACCTGGAACACCTCGGGGGACTAGTGCCACTGCTCAAGGGTAGAAGGACCAGCAAGATTAGACCTGAGTTCGTCATCTTCGATCCACAAGCTGAAGGTGAAGGATATTGCTCTACTCGTTACTCTGCATTCACTATGTGCCGGCTTAATATATCAACCAGGAGAGACTTTTATTTTGAAACTAGCTACTTCCGCGCGGTTTCACACGCTCTGCTCAGCTCCTATTGGTCGTAGCGTGATGTTTCATAGCCTATAGCCAACCTCGATAAATGAGCTATCCAACACAAAAAGAAATATTCAAATCAGACTTGTAGTTACGGAGATTAGCGCGTTCAAACAAACAAACAAAAAAACAAACTCTTCCGCTTTATATAATAGTATAAGATAAAAAGAAAGCGTAAAAATACTACTAATTATTCAACTCATCAAATTTAGATGATTTTATTAGTTGAAATGATGTTGAATGAGATGATTTTCAAATTGTTAAACTAGCCTAAATATAAATAATGGCAAATAGAGATTTAAGAGTAAAGTAAATTAAATATGAAAACTGTTGATGACCGTGTCTAAACTGAATTGTATTTTGCGTGTTTTGTATACAGCGGAGAAAGCTTCGAGTAGCAGCAGTAGTAGCAGTAGCAGCGGCGCGACGAGCTCGTCCAGCGGGGGCGGCACCGCCTCGCCCCGCACGCCCCGCGCCGCGCGCCCCCGCCCCCGCCACGCCCTGCACGGACACACCTCCTCCTCCGACACTGAGCGAGAAGAAGGTACGTTCATTTAAGACAACGTCAATTATTTGAGAGAAGCTCTACTACTACGAGTTACAACCCGTAAGAGTCCCGTTGTGCCTTGAAAGCTGTCGAGCTTAACACTTGAATAGTTTTAGCGTATTCGTATTATAGCGTTCTTAATGGCTGATTTTGAGATCTTATTGGTGTAAGGTATGTAAATCTTGGTAGATTTGACAAGGAAAAGTCGACACGCATCAATAAAGCCAACCCTACAATGTACTTTGTGATTGATTGCGTTGTAGAACCCGATGGTAGAACGGTTATTATAATGTCAGGTTGCTCCGGGTCCCCGCGGCTACAACGCCGGCGCCGGGCGCGGGAGAGACGGAAAGTACGGAACTCCAGTGAGAAGGAAGACACGCCTGACGAACTCGCCTACATCGACTCCTTGCCTGAGGTACCATACTTATTTCATTGTCTATTGTATTTTTATTAAATATTTTTACTTCAATTTATTTGTTTCCACATAAAGTTGTATATCTACACGCGAGTTCTTGTTACAGGATGTACGTTTAGTAGAAGTGACATCTAATATATGGGGAACTAAATTTAAAATGCACGGTTTAGCTAAAAATGTCCCGGCCAACCTCGGCCAGGTCACATATAAGACGTCCTTGCTCCACCTCCAGCCGAGGCAGATGACGCTCATGATCACGGAGCTCCGGGACGACTATCCCGTCGGCCCGGACCCTAACTTCAATCCTAACATCTTCTCCGAGGATGAAGAGGAAGTGTTTCAGTCCAACGACTCCAACGATTCTCCGTCGCATACTAATAATAATATCAGAAGAAAATTAACTCTCAACGAAAGGTTAAATAATACCAACAACAGCAATCAAAACGACAGCTACGCGGCTAACAACAACAACCAGAGCAGTCCGTCGCTCGCACGAGCCGAGTCGTACGACGAGTTCCCTTACATCGACACCAACACCAACGAGACCGTCAACAACGTACCGGAGACTGTGTACTCCGCGGCCGTGCGACACGCCAGCCAGGCCGAGAGGAGAGTCAGCAACACCGCCGGCGTCCCCAACCGACACGCCATCTCCCCACTACGCTGTGAGAGCTCGGTCCCCACGCTGCAGTCGCCTAAAAACGCTGTAGCGCCCACAGACATCATATTTGAGAGGCCTTCCCCGCAGACTGTCACGTGCGGGGGCCGGGGCGACTTCTGCGGGGGCAGGACTGACTACAGCGTGCGTGGAGACAACGTGTCGCTCAAAGGGAACTTGTCCAACATCGAACAACAATCTTTTAATCTTAATTTAAGTCTCGAACCGAGCAGACAAGTCACGATAAAGAAATGTGATAATCACGTCACTGACAATTGTCTTTCCAAATTACGCAAAAACATTTGCAGCAGAGGCGAGTCTGCTTCGTACGACATGAACACGAGGATCCTTAAATCGCTCTGTAACAAAAATTACGAGCATGAAGTGCACCCAGACGCTCTGAGTAAACGCGGTGAAGCAATGAAACACTTGCAGAAGAGTGAGGACTTGAAGTTCATTGACGAGGAGACTCCCGTGGATACCACTATCAGTAATCTAACCGACAAGGCTCGAGAGGTGACTGGTAAAGTTCAGAGGACGACGACCGTGGTGCCTATTAGTCCTGTGTGCGCGACCATCCCCGTGTACGACACGATGACTAGGAGCTGCAGCGTCGGCTATCTGGATCTCGTGGACCCTCAGGTACTACACGCTCAGGTGAGTTTGACCGCACTGCGGGGCGAGCCGCCGCGGAGACTGGTACTCGTCAACAACAAGCGGCACCGGCGACAGCGGCGACACGTGCGCGCCGGAGACTCCAAGCAGGCCGAGTGTACCAAGACACCGAGCTTACGGAGATGTGGCAAGTCTAGGAGTCTCGATTCCAGTGAAATGTCACTAACCGTAGATAAGAGCAAGCGGCAGTCGCGTGTGGATACAGTGTCTCCGAAGGCGGAGGCGACGTCGGCGCAGTCCAGCAGCCGCTGCACCAGCGCGGGCGAGGAGTACAGCGGCACGTCGGCGTCCGACAGCGGGCGCGGGGCGCGGCGCGCGGCCGGCGCGGCCTGCTCCACGTGCCGCGGGGCGCCGCCCGC